GCTCTCTACTCGTTGTGGGGATGTGGAAGGAAGGCTATATTAACTCCCAAAAGCATATTTAGGACGAAATACTAAACTACAAATGCTTAAACGCATTTTTTAATATTTCGATATTATGTATTAGTAATAAAATTGATTCAAAAAGGCTCTGTTGCTCACGATTCCTTTCCCTCAATACATTAACTTTTGTCGTTCAACTTTTTTTATCCACCCTCCATTTTGAATGAGAGAGAATTTTCACTCCTCCACAAAGCTTGGCGTTACAACGTACCAGTTCATTCGTATTGCAGATTTAATGCTACATGCGTACTTTTTTCGAATGTATTTGAAAGATTCTTTTCATAAAATTAACAATGCAAATCAATTCTGTTAGTTTCATTACTTTAGTATTATTGCAAACTCGACATCAACACTACAGTGACTAAAGCATAAACTCTAAATATTGTACTAGAAGTAACATGCTAGGCAGCTGCTACAAAAATTTCAAGGAATCCCATTCTAGCCATCAGAAGATAAAAGTTTACACAAAAGCAAACAACATGATATAGATCTATACTTGCGTGATATAGTAGTTGAATCTCAACACATAAAAGCTAAAATTTACGTGGCTAAACTTCTGATAGGATCTTCAGTTGTAAACTACTGTTCTTGCCCATAGGCATCACCTTCATGAGGCAATCCCCAAATTTTGCCAATATCCCTTTATTTACTTTCTATCACTCACAAGCAATTTGCTGACAGTAAAACCAGCAGACCGAGTAGACCATCTAAAAAGAGAAGACGAGGGAAGACAAACAAGAAAGCAAGCTCGAGTATTAAAGCTGCAGGATATTCTTCACAGCCTCTACCGAGTGGAGGGATTCCGGAGGAGGTCCCGTTTGCAAGATCTGAAGCACCAAGTTCTGCAGGGCGTAGTCGCTTTGGGAGCTCAGGACGAGATGCCTCATCACCTCTCGGCTGGCGCCGGGAAGCAGTTTCCGCCGCATCTGCTCCACGCGATCGTCGTTGTCGGCGAAGAAGAGCGAATTATCCCCGTCCGGCATCACCCCATGATCGGGGCGGCAGAAGATCATGTCGTTCGTGATGCTCACCGTGTTGTTCGTATCCACCATCACGATCGTGCGGTCGAAGTAGCGCGGGACGAAAGGCTCCTTTCCCTCGGGAAAGACGCGGTTGCCCGTGGAGGGGTCCACCGGGTTCCACAGGTACTTCATCCTGCCGTGCAGCGTGACCACATACAGCCGCACCTTCACCTCCTGCTCCAGCACACTCACCGACGCGCTCGCGCTGATGAGTTGGCAAAACTGCAAACTCGGGCTCGACCCCAGGGCGCAAAATGCCCGGAGGTAGCTTCGAATCTCCGCAGGGTTTTGCGCGACATTCCGCATGGAGGCGATGTTGCTGAGGAGATTTCGCCAGTGAATCGCCTTGCGGGCCGCGGTGATGTCCGTCTGCATCGTGTTTCGCATCGCCTTCGAGAGGTCGACCGTATGGCAAAGGGCGTTGATGGGCAGCCGCAGGGACGAGAGCGCGTCGTTTTGGCTGATGGACAGCGCGGTGGCGCCTTGCGCGTACAACGGAATAATCGGGTCGATCTCCCCACCATTCATCACCGACAGCAGGTTCCGATTGAGGTAATCCAGAACCTGCAAATGCAGCTCGCTCTGCGGGGGGGCGTGTAAGGGGTTGGGGAGAATCAGCAGGTTTCGTTTGACGGGCTCGGCATCAAGCATCCTTAAGTTCGACAGCGTCCGAAGGACTTGGCCGCGGTAGTCCTTGTGGTTCGTTACGGGATTGCTCGTGAGAAGCACCTCGGTGAGCAACGGAAACTCCTTGAGCAGCCCAAGAAAGGAAAGATCATCGATGGCGTTGTTAGCTGCGTTGATAGCGGCGATGCCAGCGTGAGTGTCAACCTCCATCAACGCCTGAAGGAAGGGTGTTAGCCTGCGAACCTGGTTGCTACTGAGGTCTATAAAGCGAATTCGGTTCCCAAATTGTTTGCGCAGAACCTCGGCAATACAACGACAAAACGCAAAGTTGTTGAAGTCCACACTCTTAGAGGCTGACGCGAGATCAGGGCTACCACGCATATCGGATATGTTGAGCATTCCAGTTTCTGCATTAAAGCACCCAGCTGACTTTTCAAACAGAAGAGCGAGGAGCGTTTTCATGACGCCCGCTATATGGCTATCCCCAATTACATCACTACCCCCTCGTGCTCCTCCTTGTCTGCCACCACGGCGATTGCTTTGTTGATGATTTCCACGGTATTCCACACGGTTCGGCACTCCGGGGTGAGCACCCATCACACCATTGTTCGAGCGCCCATATTGAAAGGGGCTGTGGAATCCGC